AGATGCACTACATAGGTCTACCAATGAGAAATAATTCCTATTTATCGGGATGGTAGAAAGTAATGTATGTAGATTAGGGACCAGAGGATGTTGAGGAACTACAATATTACTTACGACTTTTAAATCTAGTACAAATCTCCAGCCTTTCCCCTTTAGCTATTTTTACAGGAAGGATAGACATATTGCAAGGACTAGTGCAAGGAATTGTTAATCCTTTCTTAAAGTAGTCCTGGATAGTGGGTCTAATACCAGCTAATGCTTCTGGTCTTATTGAGTATTGCTGTATGTTGGGCAAAGGTTTGGTCACATTAATAGTTACCTTGATAGAGATGTGGCATCATGCGTTTCTATGAAGTCTTGGCCTAGTAAGTGTACCGGAGTACTTTTAATTATGAGAAACACATATTTTCCTCTAAGATTTCCTAATTGGAAAGTAATCAGCTCTAATTTAAAGACATTGGCAAATTCGATATCCTTACCATTTGTACTATATTTTTACCCCAAGGGGAAGGGCAATGAAGGAGTGTAGAATCAAGGACAGATAGTGTGGCTCTGGTGTCAATGAGAGCCATAATAATTTCCCTTTTTATCATTATTTCTATCTCTCGCAAGGTATTAGTAAGGAGAAATGCCCTCTTCATTCCTCAGAGCAGAACCAAGCTTGTTTTCTTTCCTCTCTCAAGATCCCATTTTAGCTTTTGACAGTTCTTGAGGTGGTCAGGTTTCTTACAATAAAAACAGAGTCTTGTTTTCTGTGGGAATAGGCTTTCTTATTGGTCTCATTTGATTACTTGTTATAGTTTTGTAATTTTGTTGCAGCTTTATCTTTTTCCTTCTTCTGAATGGTTTTAGATAACTGATAGGCTAAATCTACTAATCCATTAGTATGTATTGTGGCCCAGTCTAAGTTGTATCATTTTACTCAAGTGACAAGTTCTTTATCCATTTAAAAATGTTGAATTGATTAAAGAGTGATTTTGGTGACTCTGGAAGCTAGTGGGTACCATTCCCAAATATTGTTTATAGGTTTTTTTGAACATCTCAAAGAAATCAAATACAGTTTTAATGTAGGGAGGAGGCAAGAGAATTAAAATCTTAATCAAGCCACATTCAGAGACTTCAATGTGCTGATCAGCCCTGCAGCCACTCTAGGAAGACACCTTCAGAACAAAGGAAAATTTCTACAGAGATTGCTAACAGCCCATTCTCCACACCTGTAAAGGGGAAACAGAAACCAAGAGTCATTCCCTATGGCTAAAACCATGAGGGAACCTAAGTATTAAAGGCTGGGAACTGCCATCAGGCCTTTCACTCTACATCTTCTTACCTTTTCACTCTACATACCCTTCCCCTTCCTCACTGTATGTCCATATTAAAGGAAATGGGTTAACAAAGTCTTTTAAACAATAACTCACAGGAACTAAAATATCATATAAAAACTGAATTCTCTGAACATTCAGCCCCCTCTCTACTCATTATCTTTCCAATCCTCTTTTGGTCTCTCTCAGTTTCTTTACTCTGTTTCTCACTGTCTCTCTCACTGTCTGTCTCACATTCTGCCTCTGAGAGGAGACCACGCTCTGTCTATGGAATGTTACCCACTTCCTAATAAACTTTCCTTTTGACTCTAACTTTGGCGTGTGTGTTGAATTCTTTCTTCACTCTTCACCAAAGGACCCTCTTCTCTAGGTACAGGGCTTGGTGCCCCCGTCACTTGGGGAACTTTGCCCTGTCCTGCATCAGTTTCACCTGGCCACTTTTTGCACTGTTGAATCTTAGCCCAATCAACAGTTTTAGGATATAGTTCATAGATGACATTATGTAAGTGGTTAGCAATTTCAAGGCTTTTGTCTCAGTAAGCTTTGGTATGCTTTGCAAAATCCTTGAAAGGGTTTTTCCAATGTACCTGAGCTAACCATTCTGTTGCTTTGCTGTCAGAGACCAGCATATAAATTAATCGGTATAAATCAGAATATCCTGGTTCATTAGGCTTAATTGTTAAATCTAATTCTTTTGCAAATCCAATAGGATCTTGAAGGGGATCTGGGAGATCGCTAGTTAAATTTTTTAGTTTTGTTCTTGTTCAAGGGACGGAAGTACAGGTTCTCCTTTTCCTGTGGCTGGCTTTTCTTCGAAAGGTGCTATTATAATTTCCTCCTCAATAGGTCTCTTACGTTCTACAATTTTTTTAGATGACTCTTCTAATTTGGGTACAGTTTGAAGGTGAAGAGGAAGACGAGGTAAAGAGGGAAG